TCCCAGGGTCTCTCTCCCCTACTCCCAAGCCAGCACTCCTCAACTGATCAATGACTTATTTCTTTTATATATAGGCTCAGCCAACTATGAAATGTTTCTTATATGATGTAATTATCTTCATAGGGCTAAGACCCCATAAATGTCTGAAGCTGATTAAGAAATTTATTCACACATTTTTGTGGGGTTGTAGAAAAATTCTTTTACACTTTGTGAATATATTTTGGACCTTCTGTGCTTATATCCCTGTAAGTGAAGAGTAGAACCATCTTGTTTACACATTAAAACTTCATCATGTGTGACTACATTCTGTGAGTATAACAACTGAGCTGGGGTGGGTGGGGTGGGTGTGGAAAGAGTCAAATTCCTTCTCTCTTACATTTAAGTTGATAATAAAAAAGAAAAAATAAATAAGTTCCTGATAGAGCCAGGGCTTCAGCCTTGGTCTCCCAGCTCCTAGGTCTGTCTACTACACCAGCTTCTCTCCCATTTCTATGATTCTACCTGCTATACCTATCCTCCTATGGCACATGAAAATTTTTGGTTTGGTTCCTCCTGTAGAAACTGATTTCATATTGATGCTGCATCCAGACACTTATAAAAGCTAATCACAGCCCAAGTCCACAGCTCTACCCCTCCCATTCTCTTCTCAACGGATTCCCTAACTCCTCCCCATCAACCACCTCCCTTTCTCCCAACTCCTCCTCTTCCCCTCCTCCCTGTTCAGGTGATCCTTGTCCCTGTCACACGTGGGTAGTTTGGCCATGAGCCAGTGGAATGTGCCTCTGGGGAGATTTGGAGACATGACCCCCTCTCCTTCCAGCCCTACAGATTTGCCTCTCAGTTTCCAGATTCTATTCTCTTCCCCTTGCCATCTTCAACTCTCCTCTTAGTCCTCACCAACTTGTACCTAGACTCTTTCTTACCTCCCTATCTCTGCTAAGAAAGAAGGAGCCCATCTCTTTCCTACCCCAGGAGCCCTTATAACCCTCCTCCCTGCCCAGCAGCTCACGGATGACTACCTATGACCAGCTCATCCTGGGTGGGATTGGCTTTCAGGTGATCAAAGCTCCAGCTTTCTGAGTCTCCTGTTCCACTATCACCCCTTCTTACCAGAGAAATGGGCATGGGGTGGGGTTGCAGGTGAGCACTGAGTTGGAACCACTGCCCTCAAGGGGAAAGAGAGATCAGGTCCCTAGACTGGGTAAAGCTAGTGAAGTGGTGGACGACAATGACCAGGATATGCCCTGGCTTCTTTTCTCAGCTCCACTTTTGATTGTCTAAAATATAACAACACAATGTCACATCAATGGGTAAGGTGGGTAACAATATAATTTCAATGTGGGAATCACTGGCTTCCTGGAGGAGGAAGCACAGAAGGATGAGAATACGGTTCATGTTCAGAGGGCAAAAAATTGTCTGGTTTGGTAGAATTCGTGGTGGGGAGTACTATGGGATGAGACTAGAAAGGTAGGACAGGTTTTAGAGGACCTTGAAAAGCTAGCAAAAGAACTTAAACTTTATTTAGGAAGTAATAAGGAGCCACTGAATATTTTTGAGTAAGAGTGACATCGAATCTATATGCAATCTGTTAGAATGTCAGTAGTATGAAGAACAGATTGGAAAATTGGTAAAAGTAGAGGTCAATATTACAGTAGAACTAGTTGGAATCTTTATTATTAATTTCAAAAAGTAAGACCATTGAGGACAGAACTGGAGGCTATGGATTTCAAATGTTCTAAAGTCAGAGTTAGAGTCTTCAAGGACAGAGCCTACTCTCTTGTGATCCCTAGCCTTATTTCCTCAACCATTGTCCTGCTCATGATGATGTTACCCTTTGTGCCCAATAGAAGATGGTATATCTTTTAAATAGCCTCCATGTTCTCCATCCTCTGTTCTGGATTGTTCTCCAAGTGATGTCTAGCTAGACCTGGAGTCAGAGCTTGAGATGGAACTTAAGTGATTCTCCTTCCTCTCCTTACCCCCCCCATTCCTGCTAAACAATCCCCAAAACCATCTTCAACCCAGAGATGCAGTTCTGTCCCTTTATACTGCTATTCCCCCTTCCTCAAAAGCATAGGAGAGAAGAGAAAGTGGAATTTTTTTGTGTCATTCTCATCTACTCACAAGTAAAATAGAATGAAGGTTATGTGGAAGAGACCAAGAGCCCTGTCCCACTCTGTTTTGCCCCTCTAGCATGAGAGGTGGTGTGCTCTATCCAGATACTTATAAAGGCAACTGCTGTCCTGATTCCATACCCCTAGATCTTCTGTACCTTTTGGATGCCACAATGCCAACAAATACAGTCACTGGAGGCCTTGCCTACATACATACCCCCCCCACACACACACACATACACACACACAAGCAGCTAGGTGGTGCAGTGGATAGAGTACCAGGCTTGGAGTCAGGAAGACCTAAGTTCAAATGTAGCCTCAGACATTTAGTGGCAGTGTATCCCTGGGCAAGTCACTTAACCCTGTTTGCCCCAGTTTCTCATTTGTAAAATGAGCTGGAGAAAGAAATGGCACTCCAGTATCTTTGCCAAGAAAACCCCAAATAGACTCATACAGAGTTGGACACAATTGAAACTGAACAAAAAAAAAATCTCTTTCTTGAGGAGATATTTTCTGTATGTCTCTCAAAACTCCTTAGCTTTGGAGTATGCAAATATCAACTGAATGCCTACTGAAAAATAACTTTACCTTGCCTGGCCTCCATCGGTAGAAGGAGGGAGGAATAAAAAGCAGAAGGAACAGGATTCCAGTCCTACTTCCCATAGTCAAGAGATTTATGGGGGTTTGGTTAGACAGACCAGAAGTCAAAAACAAGATAGACAGAGAGCCTACTTCTTATTTCTTATGGGCTTTCCCTGCTGACCTTTGAGCATTAAACACTTCCTGATTCACCCTAAATTGGCATCCTAGTTTCTGGAGGGGAAGAAAGGGAAGTGGAAGTTACATTGGAAAAATGTTGGAGAGAGGCCATTTGGGGTGTGTCCCAAGCAAAGTGGATTGGCAGAGTTGTTCCTTTCATGGCTCTGTGTCACTTTCTCCAAATTAACACAGATATCCCAGTTCTCTGATTTTCAGGATTAGTAAGGTGTCATAGCAGTTCCATCCATCCCCAAAGCTGTAATCTGGACAATTCTTCCCTTTCTTGCGGTGTCTTTCCTATGCTAAAGTGCCCTGTTTGAATCTGTCATCTCTATAGTACATGCTTTAACCTCCCTTCAGCTGCATTTCTAGTCTTTCGAACTATCCTGTTTTCTGCATATAGATGAAAAATGTTTCATCCCACTACACAACTTCTTTTCTCTGGAATCTCCCCCTATACCATGCCTAAAACTAAGCTGACCTTCTGTCAACTCCTTCAGCTCAAACCCCATTCCTCAACAGTCCTTTTTCCCTTCTTCCAAGTCCTCAGTCATCTAGTTAGCCTTTCTTTTGAGAATCCTGGTTATGTTTCTCCAGATTCCCAGAATACAGGGACTGGAGGGAGCTCAACATGATTTTCATGCTCTTCCTCTTGTCCCTTCTCACTCAACTCTCTCTGTATCACTCTGAAAGCAGGGCACTGGTGGAGGGGTGCATGGGTGGACTTTCTTCTTACTAGGCTGTGCACAGTGGGATATATCTCCTTTCAACCTTAAAAGGTTCCTGGTGAGTTATGTTGAGAACATGAATAAGGGGACTTAAAGTCTTAGAGGACTGAAGGGAAGAGCGTGTTCCCTCTTTCTAAACCCTCCTTGAGGTCTCTAGCAATGAGGGCACAAAGGTGGGAATGGATAAGGGAGCTGTCCTTCCAGAGTGACTGTCTCCAGTAGCTTTTTTTGTTTTGTTGACTATAGATTCTTAGCAGTACTAGCCACTCCAGAGGTAATCTTATAGTTCAATTTTAATCCCTATTGCAATATCCCAGAGAAGTGATTATCCAGTCATAAGTTGAAGGTGAAATTCTCTACCCTTCATCATCTTCTGCTCAATACCCCATTTCACCCTGGGTAGAATTCACACTGGGGCATCTGAGGAAGAGTGGAAGTTGTCCCAGTCACCCTTCCAGAAATAGAAACTAAGCCTAGAGAAAATGAAGCAGTCTTATTTTTGTTTAAGAATCGTGAGTCATGATGCCTAGCATATAGTAGGTACTTAATAAATGTTTGTTGAATTTAATTGAAATTGAGAACTTGGGGGAGAGGGGGATGAAGACTAGTTAGGAGAAGCATTTGAAAGACCAAGCTGTCTTTGGTCCATGCCCTCAGCTGGACTATTAGGAAAAAGGAATCAGGGTTCAGTACCCTTTCCCCTTCCTTAGTGAGGTAAGCTTCAGACCCACACTAGCCAGAAGTATAATTTAATTTAAAGGCTGCAGGCATGTTCTGCCCACTCCCCTCCAAGGTCTTACGCCTCAGTTTCCTCAGCTGCATCCCATGAAGCGAGGAGTGTTGGTACCTGGATTACCCCTTGGAGAGCTGCTGGGCTAAGCCCTATACAGACGTCTATCAGAGGTGGATGACTGAGACCAGAGGCAGGACGTGCCCCCAACCCTCCCCCCTCCCCCACTCCCCCCCAACAGCCGGGAAGTGGCCCCAGTCCGGATTTCCCTCCCGGGTGGGACCGCAGTGACTCATTTGTACACCCCCCTCCCTCCCAGCTTCCCAGTTTCCTTGTTTGCACTTCTCCTGGACACGTGGCTGCTGGTACCTCCACTCTGGCCCCTGCCCCCACCCATAACAGCTTGTGACCCCTACCCTCCCCCCTTACATTCACCTCCCCCACCCCAGTCCTATCTTGCCCCCTGCAGATCTTCAGGGCTCCCGCCCTCCCCATTTGTCCCGGCGCTCCACCTTTTCCCTACCCAGTACCCTCCTCCTTCGCAGTCTGGAGCCTAAACTGACGCCTCCTTCCCCCGCCCCACTTCCATCCAATCCGGCTGGCCAATGGGGGTGGGGAGATGGGGACCGGCAGCCAGGCTGGGGGTGTGGCAACTCGGTTGTGCACTTTGCCAACTGTGGACGCGCTTCAGCGACCCATGCCAGCTGGCGCTTCGTCTGGTACAGAGGTGGAGGTGCTAGGTGTTAGGGCTGCGTGTCACTGAAGGGATTCTCCGACGCCCTTGAACCTTCCACTACCCAGCCCCCTCCCTGGGACCCTCCTTCAGGCCAGCCTTCGCGGAAGGAACTCTTTCAACTGGAAATTAACCCTGTTCAGCGGACCTGGGATCTGCCCACCTGAACCCTTCCTATTGGGACGGCTCTCATTCCTATTTGCAAAGGGGGTGAAGGGCACGTGCAACCTTTTGCAAGGAGGCTGCGGCGACAGGGGTAAGGGTATCTTGACGTAGGGATTCGAAGGTGAGTGAGAGGTGAGAGGATAGAGCCAGAGGTACTCTGCTTTAAAACCAAAGGAAAAAGATTGGGGTGGGGGGGCAAACTGAAGCTACTTTTCTGGGGCATCTAGAAGGGGAAGATAATGGTAAGGCAGTTCAAAGCTCTTCGGAGGGTTTGTCAGAGGAGTGCCTCTAGACTAGCCAGGGAATTCTTCCCGAGTGGGAGTATAGAGAGGTTTAAGGGGGAAAGAAGCATTTTTTTCAAGTGAGCCCAGTAGAAGATAGCCAGATACCTCAGGTTAGCAGGCTCTCTCTACCCGAGGTCTTTTTGCGTCTCCCCCTATCTCCTTATAGAATTGCAGACTTCTCTCCCACACTGAGATCTATCCAAAGGAGGGGATTCTGCCCTTAAGCTAAATCACCAGAGTCTGACCCGTTGGCCAGATTTCCCACCCCACCCCCATCCCTGTTCTCCTTGCTCCCAGGGTCACAGGTGGGTTAGCCAGGTGAGGGCCGATGGCAGGTGGGGCTAGCTGGTAAGGAGTGCCCAGCTTTGGCAAGAACAACATCCCAGATGTTGTGCTGGAGGGCACATTGTTCAATATGGTGCTGAGGAAGATTCACCGGCCCAGGAGTTGTTCTTACCAGCTGCAGCTAGAGCACAGAACACCCCCCAGCCGGATTCAGGGTCTACGCTGGGTGAGTACAAACTCTCAGCTTAGGGATCAGGGGATGGAGGGTGCAGGGGGATGGTTGCATAGGAGGCTAGAGTACCAGGTTGGGGGAGGGTTAGTTAGGCCAAGGCAGCATTGTTTTGTGGGTGACTGTGTGGTGTCTGGGTGGTGTCGCCATAAATGGGTAAAGGTGAAATAGGGGGACCAGGTCCCTGGGTTGGATAAGCCTTTTCATTGTCCATAGGCAATTCTCATTTCTCTACCTAATGATCTGAGTAAATGGGCTTGGCTCATCCTTCATTGGATGACTGAATGGGGATACCCAGGCAGAAGGGGTCCAAGAAACATTGCTGAAGTGAATAAGGCCATGTTGGCATTTGGGACTAGTGGAGTGGAGTTGGAACGAACACCTCTGGGTGAGGAAAAGGGAACCTGAGTAGGGGTAGCTGGACACCCCTTTCTGGCCTGTTACCCCCGGTGATCTCAGTTTCCTCAGTCTCCCCTTATGGCCAGAAACAAAGAAATGGAGAGTTAGGAAGAGAGAGACACTGAGAAGGGATATTGAATTGGGGGAATTGCACAGAAGAACAGAAGAAAACATGGGAGGAAAATAAATGAGCACGATGATGAGAATGGGCCAAAGTTTTTCTGAGTCTATAAGAATCAGAGGGTAACACATTTCAGGGAAGGATAGAGAATAGTTGGCCTTCAACCCCAGTGTATCCCTTTCCCTGTCTCTTCGAGAAATAGAAAATTTCCCTGTGTCTTGCTGGTCAGTTATGGTATTAATTTGATAAACCCTGGGCAGCCCAAGAGGTGTTACTTCTCAACCACCTTCATATTCCTCTGAGGACAAACTCCATCTATATGCCTTATAAAGTGTGAGACTGAGCTAGGAAAACCCATAGAAGGGAATCACAGGATTATAGATTTAGACATTTTCTAGGCATTTGACAGATGAGAAAATTGAAACCCAGAGATAGAGTTGCTGGGATCACTAGAGAATAGGTTGCAAAGGTAACATTTGAACCCAGGTCTTCTAAAACTATTGCTTTTTCCACTGTGCCACCTGCCTCTCCAGGGTCTAGGACTCATCATCAGTAAGAATTTGGTTGCAAACTGTGCCCCACCCCTCGATCCAGCTGGTGGTTGTTCTAATATCTGTTGTTGTTAGTCATGTCTGATTTCAGTGATCCCATTTTAGGGTTTTCTTGGCAAAGATACTGGCAAACCATTTCCTCTCCAGCCCATTTTACAGATGAGGAACTGAGGCAAATAGGGTTAAGTGACTTGCCCAGGGTCACATAGCTAGTATGTGTCTGAGGCCAAATTTGAACTCATGAAGATGAGTCTTCCTGATTCCAGGCCCAGTGCTCTATCCACTGGGCCACCTAGCTACCCCTTACCTAATATTAGCGATCCCTAGATTTTTTTTTTCTTTGTCCAAGCTGGGACACTAGAGGAGGTTAAGGAGTCCTCCTAGGTTTCTAATGGCTTCTAATAGCATTGCTCCCTACCCCCACTTCCCTGGTCAGTCACTGTAGCTGCTGCCTGGAGCCAGTGGGCTGGAACCCTCCCTCGCTCCTTCTGGCCCTCCCAGGGCTATAATTACATGCGTGCTTCCTGTCCCCTCCCCAACCCTGGGAGGGAAGGTGGGGGTGAGTCCTGAGCTAGGACAATGAGGTCACAAGGTATTTCTCTTGGGACCCCAGACCTGTGGGGAGGCAGCCAGGCTTTTCCACACTCACTAGAACTTTCAAAATCTAAGGGCAAAGAATACCCAAGGAGGTTGAAAGGCTGTATGTGCATGTGTGTATATGTGGGTATGTGCATGGGGGTGTTGAAGAGAAGGCGTTAGAATGTAAATGGGGTTAAAAACCTGGAAAGAAGGTCTGTCCCCCAGAGTGATGGCTAGCCAGAGGTTTTAGCCTCCAGGGGCTGAATGGAGGAGGGGCAGATAGCTACACCCCCTCCTCTCTGCTATCTTCAGGGGAATGTTCTGGGAGGATCTACCCCATTGTGTTTGGTCTTAAGAGGAATCCATTGTATATATATGTAGCTTCTCTTATTGCTTATCCCTGCAGTGTTAAGTGGATGAAAGACCCATGTAGTCTAGGAAGAGATTTGCCAGCAGGTACCAGGGTGCAGAGTAGTTGTATAAATGAGAAGGGATATGGGGATCTGGGAACTCTAGAAAGTGAGTAGCTGAGGACTAATGAAATGAATTGTCTTTCTTAGCAGCCAAAGAAGCAAAGAGCCATTTCTACTTCTTTCTAGAACAGGATAGAACTAGATTACAATAGGAGTGATTGGAGGTTAGATACCAGAAGGAACATCCTGACCAACTGGGATAGGAGATGCTAGAAAGGGAATTAAAGGGTATTTCCTGAAAATGTTGTCTGGAAGACTGGCTAGAGACATCTGCTGGGCCCCACTAGCCTAGGGAGTTTGGAATGCCAAAGTTAATGTGGCAGCTGTCCAGTGATAGCTGGCATTTATCTGGGGCTTTAAGGTTAGCAAAGGGCTTTACTGATATTATCTCATTTGACCCTCACATCAACCCTGTGAGGTAAGCACTTGCAGGTATTATTGTCCCCATTGTCCAGATGTGGAAACCGAGGCTGTGAGCGTTTAAAGTGACTTGTCCATCATTGACAGTGCAGAAAGTAAATGTCAAAAACAGGATTCTAATCATCCTGATTCCAAGTCTAACACTCTACCCTCTTCACCTTCAAGGGCTGTAGGGAGGGGGCCCCAGTCTCAAACTCCAGAATGGACTTCCCCCCAAAACCACCTCCCCTTTGGGCAGAAGGCATCAGTTCCTCTGCACACATGGCTTCCCTACCCCCACCATTACCATGGGCAGTCCTGGCCAAGAACCCTTGCCAGAAGCTACAGGAAACAGGTCTGACAGGTCAGCACAAGACTGCCTGGCTCATTGCTTACTTACTTAGTATCCTGGGTTCTGACAGCTTCACATGGCGAACTGGCAATAGTACAGTTGCCATTAAGTGCCAGCTCTTCTATCCTTCCCTATTACCAACTCAGAATTGCCAGAATTTTAATGAACAGTCACAATTGTCACTGAGGAAACATCTCTAGGTCATCTTTGTCCCTAGAGCTGGAAACTCTATATGATTTCTTACATGAGAATCTGTAACATTTGAGTCTGACACTCATTAACCAACCCCTAAGGATCATCTAGGCTAAGGGCAAGACTAGAAGAACAGAGCAATAGTTCCTAATCTGTGGGCCTGGGACACCTTGAGGGGTAGGCATGGGAAGTGGTTTGCAAGTGTTACCATAGCCAGGTGGTATGGTATTGTCTCAGTTAACCTAAAGTACTAGAAGTTCAGTCATGTAAGGGTCTGCAAAATTCTGTGAAGTTAAAATGAGTTTTTAATATTGGAAAAGGATAGGACCCCCAACATAAAGTAGTCCTCTGGTGGCTTAAAGCCCACACCATAGTGGGATGGCCTAATTTATTTCAACCTGAGATAACAGGATAGCCTAATAAGAGTTCGAATGAAGCACTGGGGTATTGTGACTAGACAGGTCTTGTGAATTGGTCCTATGGCCTGTGATGTATACTCCTGGGTCAGGTCCACGCTGGAGAAAAGAATACGTGGAAGGGAGAGAAAAGGGCTGGAGTTCAGAGGGGCAATGGGGCAGAGACTGTAGTTCTTCTAGGCATCTGGGCATAATGAAATGAAAACATGCTCATTAGGAGCTTTGAGTCACCAACTCAGGCACTGTTTGTCCCAAGGGATGGGAGAGGGGGAGGGTTCCTCTTCTTCCTCCCTCTCTTCAGCCCCCCCTCTTCATTTCCTGTAATTAAGTCCTCAGGACTCAGTCTCTAGCACAGTGTTTGGTTCCTTATCACCCAGGCAAGATGACCCCTATTAACTCATACCTGCAAAGTGAAGGTTTTGAAGGACTCCTTGCTGGCGTTATGGGACATGATTCACAGGCCCTCTCTTGCGTCTGGGAACCTCAGACTGCCACTGCGACCCTAAGAGCTGAGAACACCACTGTGGCCTTGATATTCTTTAGCCAAACGCCAATTCCCATTACTCTTATTATTTCCCAGTGTGATACAGAGACCTCATTCTTTAGCCAAGGCTACAGAACATTTGAGCCAAGAGGAATCTTAGAAGTCAACCTCTTCATTTGACAGTTGAGGAAACTGAGGGTCAGAGAGTTAAGTGACTCCCAAGATCACACAGCTGGAACTAGAATACAAGTCTTCTGATGCACGTCACCTCTCACATCACCCTTAGCCTTCTAATTCCCTAGTCTCTCTGATGTTCTTGCTTCTCTGCCCTTCCTCAACCATTTCTATAACCTCACTTCAGTGCTGTTCTCGACTTGTAAGGAATGTCCCAGGTTCCCAAGAAACAGAATAATAATGAGTGAGGGGAAGAGAGGAAAGGGGAAAGGGAGAGGGCTGGGGAAGCCTATCAGAGTACTTTGAAATGAACTACATACCCATTAGCACCTCTCATTTTTGGTTCAACCTGGGCCAGTTCCTGGGCTAACATGGGTCCCTCTAAGAGGACAAAGGTCTACCACATGATTTGTAGGATCACACAGATTTTGAGCTGGAAGGGACCTTCCAACTCCCTCGTTTTGTGGATGAGGGGACTGAGCCCCAGAGTGTTTAAGTGGCTTGTTCACAGTTACAAAAGGTAAAGTACCAGATCCAGGAGTCAAACCAGGTCTCCAACTCCAAACCTAGTTCTTTTTTTCATTATGCATTTTGGAAAGACCACTTGGTTCACTGGAAAGAATGTGGAAGAATGTGGACTCAGAGAGCCTGAATTCTGTTCCTGGTTCTGCCACTTGCTGCCCATGTGACCTTATGCAAATTATTTAACTTCTCTTGGGCTTAGTTTTCTCATCCATAAAATGAGAGATTTTTGATTCAGTGACCTCTAAGGTCCCTTCCGGGCAACAAGGTGGTAGATAAGAGTGCTGTGTCTAGAGTCAGGAAGACTCTTCTTCCTGAGTTCAAATCTGGCTGTGTGACCCTGGGCAAATCACTTAAACCCATTTGCCTCAGTTTCCTCATCTGTAAAATGAGCTGAAGAAGGGAATGGCAAACCACTCCAGCGTCTTTGCCGAGAAAGCCCCAAATAGGGTCAAAAAGAGTCAGATATGACTGAAACAATTAAACAACAACAAACGTGCCAAGCTTTGTGCTAAGTACTGGGGGAAAAAAAGCCAAAACCAGTCCCTACTGTCAAGGGGCTCATGATCTACTGGAGGAGACAACAAACAAACTATGTACAAATGAGATATAGACAGGATAAGTTGTAAATAATCAGTTTAAAAGGAAGGAGCTGAGGTTGATGAGACCTAGAAAATACCTCTTGTAGAAAGTGGGACTTTAGCTGAGACCCAAAGAAAGCCAGGAGGCAAGGATGTAGAGGGAGAGAGTTCCCAAATTCAGGACAGAGAAAATGCTTGGTCAAGAGCTAGAGGGTCATTTGTCAACAGTACATGGAGTGTCAGCAGTGAGGGGGCCAGTATTACTAGATCACAGAGTATGTGGAAAAGAATAAGTTGTAAGAAGATGGGAAAGATCAAAAAGGGCCAGTTATGAACAACTTTAAAAGGAAAACGGGATTTTATATATGACCCTAGAGGTAATAGGGAGGAGTCACTGGAGTTTATTGAATAGGGCAGGGGAGATCAAACCTGCATTTTATTATTTTTACTTAATTTATTTTATTATTTGGGGGGGGAGGCTAGGAAATGGGGTTATGTGACTTGCCCAGGGTCACACAGCTAGTAAGTGTTATGTGTCTGAGGCTGGATTTGAACTCAGGTCCTCCTGAATTCAGGGCCGGTGCTCTATCCACTGCACTACCTAACTGCCCCATCAAACCTGCATTTTAAAAATGTGAATGGAAGATGTGTGGATGGAATTGAGGCAGAGAGGCCAACTGGAAGGCTATTGAAATAAGTGATGAGGCTTTGTGCCAAGATGGTGGCAGTGTCAGAGGAGAAAAGGGGCATATATATTATGTTATATGGTATAAGAAATTTTGTGAAGATAGAAACAACAGAGTGAATGTGTTAGAGTGGAGGGATTGAGGTTGACACCTAGGTTGTAAGCCTGGGGAACTAGGGGGATAGTGGTACTTCGGATAATGATTATGACTTTCCCAAGTTCTGAGTTTGTTAACTCTCCCCAGTGTCTAGCACTGTACCTTGAACATAGTAGGATGGGAAAGAGTCAGCTCCAAAGGGCGGGTCCAGTTCTGGGTCACTTGCATTGACAACCTGAATCTCCCTGTTCTTTTTTTCCTCTACAGACACCACTTACCAATAGTAATGAGACACTGGACTTTCATGTGAGCCTGGAACAGGTATCTACTGGGCTTAGGTAAAAAGCCAAAGGCAAGGACACATGGTGGAGTGGGGGGAGGGGGATCAAAAGTGTTCCTTCATTGTGAGTTTCTTCTCTCTCCAATCACATCCCAGGCTACTTCAGAGCAGGTGCTTAGGGCTGGGAAGCTGCTGCATAGGCATCTTCTGGCTACCTGCCCCACCCTCATACGAGATCGGAAATATCACCTCAGATTGTACCGGTGGGTGGATAGCTCCCCTCTCTTGCTTCTCTCCTTTTCTCTGCTTTATGGGGATAGGAGAGGCAAAGTCTGAGACCTAGTCTTTCAGAACTGGATAAAGAGTGGGAGAAGCGTGGGATATTTTCTGAAAACAAATCTTTTATAGCCCTAAAATTCTGCTCACTGCCTCCATACCACCAAACAGTTGGGCTTCTTGTTTCCCAGGCAGTGCTGCTCAGGGCGAGAGCTGGTTGATGGAGTCTTGGCCTTGGGGCTTGGAGTTCAATCCCGAAGTCAAGCTTTGGGCATCTGCCAAGTTCTCCTGAATGAGGGAGCCCTTTGCCATGGTGAGTATGAGTACTAGGTATACCGGGCTTGTCCGAAAGGTATTAGGAATACTGGATAAGCATTAGGTTTATCATGTAAATAAATGCTGGAGTGGGCCGCAATGGATTTTGGCCAATGGTATGGCATTGGAGGTCAGCACATCATTCCCCAAACTCTCACTAAATCCTCCTTTTCCTTGTTCCTCTCTCTTCCATGTTTGGTCTTTGCCCCACAGTGAAACATGAGTGGGCCTTCCATGACCGAGATGCTCATTTCTATCGATTCCCTGGGCCAGAGCCAGACCTGGACAGCATTCAGGAGTTGGAGGAGCTAGCTGAGGCTGTGACCCTGCTGTCTCAGCGAGGACCTGACGCTCTGCTCGCTGTGGCGCTGCGTAAGCCGTGAGTCACAAGCCATTTATTCAGGACCCACTGTCTCCCTAGAGTGTAAAACCAAGGTCCTTGTAGCTCTGAAACACTGTAATACCCATCTGTTAAGTCCCCCACTCACAGTAGAAATCCCTCCCTCCTTCCTGTGGAAGAAAGGTATAGTGGAGAAGGGAACCAAACTGGGAATCAGGATGCCTGGATTATAGTCCTAATTCTACCACTTAGTAGTTATATACTTCCTCTCTCAGGGTCTTGGTTTCCTGATATGTAAAACAAGGGAGTTGAATGAAGTAACCCAAGGATCCCATCTAGGTCTAACATTGGATATAAAACCCTTCCCCCTGTATTGCTTCTCTGTGCCTTTAGCCCCGGGCAGCGCACGGAGGAGGAGCTAGACCTAATCTTTGAGGAGCTGCTCCATATCAAGGCCGTGGCCCATCTGTCTAACTCGGTCAGTTACTCTCCCAAACATCACTTTTGGCCCCACTCCTTTCTAGTATATACCTTTTATCATTGACCTTCTTTGTTGTTGTTAATTTCTTTTTTTTTAATTATCAAACATTTATTTCCCTTTCTCCTACTTCATTCCCCGCTTCAGAAAATTAAGAAGAAAAACAAAATCTTTATAACAAATATGCATAGTCAAGAAAAACCAGTTCCCCAATTGGTTATGTCCAAAAAAATGTTTCTTATTCTGCATATTTAGTCTATAACTCCTCTGTCAGGAGGTACAATGACCTCACTGTCATCACAGGCTGTCTGGAATCATGGTTGATCATTGCATTGCTCGTAGTTCTTAAGTCTTACAATGTTGTTTTTACAATGTTATTGTTAGAGTATAAATTGTTCTCCTAGGTCTGCTCACTTCACTCTGCATTTGCTTATAAAACTCTTGCCAGGTTTTTCTGAAACTGTCCCTTTCAAAATTTCTTATAGTGCAGTAAAATTCCATCACGTGCGTATACCATAATTTGTTCAGCCATTCCCCAATTCGCATGCATCCCCTTAGTATCCAGTTCTTTTCTACTAAAAAAAGAACTGCTATAAATATTTTTGTACGTAGAGGATCTTTTCCTCTTTATTTGACCTTTGAGGGGGATAAGCCTAGTAGTGATATCACTGGGTTAAAGGGTATTCAGTTTAGTAACTTTTGAAGCATAATTCTAGTAATAACTTTCCCAGAGGGGACCTTTCTGACCTGCATCTGCTTCATCCCTTTATTGTCCCCCCCCCCCCCAGACTTCCCTGCTACTTGCCACAAGAGCCGTGAATGTCCTCCTGATTCCATTAGTTCCTGAACCATAAATTAGTCTTCTTTTTCCTGGCTTCCTGCTGACTGTCCCCTTACCTTCCTTCCTACAGGTGAAGAGGGAATTAGCTGCTGTGTTGTTGTTTGAGCCCAGCAGCAAAGCAGGCACTGTGTGTGAGTGTGGGCTAAGGCTGTGGAAGGGCAGGGCAGGGGACAGAGTAGAGTGGGACCCCGAGGAACTGGAGCTTGTGGAGACAGCTGTGGAGCACCGGACTTCTGGTCCAGAAAAATAGCAGAGCTGGTGGTCAGTGGTGATGGAGTTGGGGCTGGGCTCTATCTAATCTTTCCTTTTCTCAGTGTTCAGCCAAGGAGATAAGGGGACCTCTTGGTACATTATCTGGAAGGGATCTGTTAATGTGGTGACCCATGGCAAGGTGTGTTTTTCTTTTGTCCTCCCTCTATTACTCTCTCACTCTTCCTTCTACCTGCTGGGAATCCATCGGCTTTTTTGGTACCCCTTTTCTCTGTGGGCAATGCTTGGGTTAGGCCCCAAGGCTTCTAGTTCATTTTCTGATATATGTAGGTAGGGACTTGGGTGTGAATGGAAAGAGAAATATTATTATCTGATGGAACTGATTGCTAGGGCCTGGTGACAACCCTGCATGAAGGAGATGACTTTGGACAGCTAGCTTTAGTGAATGACTCACCCCGAGCAGCCACCATCATTCTTCGTGAAGACAACTGTCACTTTTTGCGGGTGGACAAGCAGGACTTCAACCGTATCATCAAGGTTAGTCAAGCTTGGGAAAGCCTGGAAGCACAGGGAGGGTAAAAAGAAATGGGAGGATCAGAGCTGAGCTGGGATAGGGATCAGGATGAGATCAGAGATTTGGAGGCAACTAGAGGTGGGAAACTAAAAGGGTCAGAGACTTGAAATTTTACCACAGAGATGGGAGGTTTGGAGGAGACTAGGGTAGAAGGAGAAGAGGGATAGGGGATTGTGAATGGGATAAATATTGAATATAAATGGAGGATAAATATAAGAATCAGAAGGAAAGGACTAAAATGGAAGAGGGACAGAAAAGATGATCAGACCTGGGAGATGGGAGTAAGGGAGCAGAAAGGGCAAGTCCAGTGATTCTGGGTAAGACTGGAATATATTGGGCAAGGGTGATACAGAGAGGAGAGAGAGGAGCTGAAGATCAGCGTGGAGATAGATTAAGTCTAGAGATAATGAGTAAGAAGTCTAGAAGTGGGTCAGAGGAGGTCAAGGTCACTGTTGAGCCTATGCTGAATCGTCATCTGATTGGCTTGGCACCCAGGATGTGGAGGCAAATACAATGCGTTTGGAAGAACATGGGAAAGTGGTGCTGGTGCTGGAGAGGGCCCCTCAGGGCAATGGCCCTGACTGTCCCCTGAACCCAGGCAGGAACCGGTAACATGCCCAGTCTTATTCTATTCCTCAAATTCTTCTCCACTCATTCCACTCCCACCCCTGTTTTTCAGCTTCTCAGGTACTTCTCCATCCTTGTTGGGCTCCTTCCTACCTGTGGCGATATAGTAGAGAAAATGGAGTTCTTCAGGGTATAGCAGCCACCTTGATGTATACACAGTAGTGTTCCTTGAAGCATGCGACAGCTTGATTGGGCTGGCATGTCCACCAGGGTATTTAAGGGAGCTAATAATGGGAAGGGACTGGTGTTTGTCAGCTCAAACCAGCCTAGATTTGGTGGTGAGTGGTGGTAGGAGTGAGTTGAGAATACAAGGAGGAAACCCTTGGGAGGGAGCAGGGTACTTGTGACATTGAGAACTGGGTCTTTCTCCCCTTATTATTATTAGTATGGTGGTACTCCTAAGTACTGGTCTGTACTGCTCCATGTAACAGAATTGTGAGAGTAAATGCTGGCAAGGCTTTGGTCAAATCCAGGCTAGAGCTGCCTATTTGTATCATCTCAGCTTACACCTGAGTCCTTAGCCTTAGAAAAGGGTGCCTGGCAATGGGCATCAGGTATATGGAGGCACTGTCGGGGTAGGGAGGTACATTGAGCCGCTTCCCTTAGGTACACTGTGATGTCAGGCACTCCAGAAAAGATCTTAGAGCTGCTGCTGGAGGCGGTGCGGCCGGACTCAAGTGCCCATGATCCTACAGGTACAGAACTGGGGCGGGGGCGGGGGGAGGGGAGCCAGAATCCATCTCATCACCACTCTTCTCTTGAGACTGCCTTTCCCCATTACACACCTGAGTGCTGCATGACTTCACTTGTCATTTAGTGAATACTGCCCCCTTCAGGCTACACAGCTGGAACTTTTTATCCTGTATTCCCTTGGTTGGGGCAAATACTGTAGATGCTCTGGGCATTTATGATTAATTAAAGTAAGAGAAGGGTCTAGGGCAGGGGTTCTTAACTTGGGGTCTGTGAACTTTTAAAAAGTATTTATAACCTCATAATCCTATGTATTTTATTTATTCATTTAAAAACATTATCCTGAGAAGGGGTGCATAGGCTTTGCCAGGCTGCCAAAAGGGTTCATGATTCAACAAGGGTTAAGAACCCCTGTTCTAGGGCTACGGTGCTGCTGTTCCCATAACCTGGTGCTTCCTCTCCTTCCTCTCTTCCCAACCCTTGCAGAGACATTCCTAGGTGACTTTCTCCTGACCCACAGCGTCTTCATGCCTACTGCCCATCTCTGTGCTGCTCTCCTGCATCAATATCCTTCAAGCCTGATGGGAAGCATGATATAATAGAAAGAGTATAAGGATATGGGGGTGAGCAAAGTGAGATTTATGAACTAGATGACCTCTAAGGTGCTTTCTAGCAGTGGCTATCTAGGGTTCTAAATGATTACTTATAGATAACGTCATGTAATGTAGGTAATGTTTATGTTGGTAAGGTAGTAGAGGTTCGGATATGGTGTGGAAGAGCAGAGAAAAATACTCGTCATTCAGTTAGCCTGTGGTAGGCACTTTCTGTAGGTTGATCCAGGTCCTAGGCACAGATTTACATTTTCCTGGATATGGCTATTATGTCCCTCCTTTGCCCAGAGCCTGGTGGGCAGTTTCCACTTTGTGCTATGACTTTCTTTGACCAGCTACCACCTTCCATGCGGAACCAGCTGGTGGCACTGAACAGGAACGTTGCATCTATATCTGTAACAAGCGGCAGAAGATCCTAAAGCTGGTCAGCCAATGGGTGACCCTGTATAGCCCCATGCTCCACATGGACCCAGTAGCCCCCAGTTTCCTACAGGTAATAGGAAGAACCCTTTGCAGCAGCGTAGGGCTGGAGGAGGGAATTCAAATAGAATCATAAGCAGGGACTACACGTTCAGCTGCCTTGGTATGTCTCCCCACAGAAACTCTCAGAACTGGTAAGCAAGGATACTCAGCTCAGCAACCTACTAAAGGAGCAGGGACCAGAGAGGCGGCGGCACCATGGGTGAGTAATCCTTCCAGGGACTGAATAAAGTTTGCTTGCTAGTTTACTCATGAAATCTTCTGGGGGAGGAACTGAAATTTAGGGACTGAAAGTGGCTCACTTGGAGTTATCTCTGAACTTGAATGGGAGCTCTGTGTCTAGATTCTCTGCTTGCCTTCCCCAATTGCCCCAAGACCATATTATCTGTAATACTCATTACTTCCATTCTAAATGAGAAAAATACAGGACAATAAACCAGCAGGCTAGCTGTGTATTGGAAATGGAATTTAAGAAATCAGGACTAGATACCTTGGCCTCTCTCCCTAATCTTTTTGTGATTCTATTAAGGTACCTAGGGTGGTGCCTTGGAAGGTGACCCTCCCTGGCAGGTGCTTCCTGCCCACCCCCTTCCCAACCTCTCAGTCTCACTATTCTTCTCATTTGCTCTGCAGGTTGGAAAATGGCGGTGGAAATATGTCACCACAATTAAAGGTATTAAGTGTGTGCCAGCTCCTCTCTCCCTCTGTATCCTGTCCCTTGCTCCATGGAGCTCCTCCTGCTTTGTAGAGTTGAGTTGCCCTTCCTTGTCCCTACCCATAGAAGGCTCTGTTTAGCATAGGTTGTGCACATAGGATTCTTGGTATTCACCTCTCATTATTTACTGGCACACAGACTTCAAACATTAAGACTCTCACATTCTTACATACTCATACATACAAAGATTCTTATAGACATAGACTTGTGTATTTAATTGATAAACATTTACTAAGTGCCTGCCGTGAGGATGCTAAGCATTATGGGGGATATTGAAAAGTACAAGCTATTACTGCTCTCAAGAGTTTATAATCCGAAGACAAGGTATATCTATCTATCTATCTATATATATGTATATATATATATATATATGTATAGCGAAAAATTAATCACTAATACAAAGATTGTTTAGTTCTTTGCATTTGTATCCCCAGAGACTAATACAATGCCTGGCCTATAGTAGGTGTTTGTTGATGTATTGGTTGACTATATATCATGCATGCCAAGTCAGTGGTGCCAATATTAAGTGTTATGTAGGTTCACAGAAGGGAGAGACCAGTTCTGACTTAATGGAGAAGGTGGGAGTTGAGCTGGGCCTTGAATAAGACTGTAGGGATGATTAAGGCATGTTTTAGAAACTGGCAAAGTAGTCCAACGTGACTATAGCACAGGATCCATATAGAAAAATAGAGGACAAAGCCTAGAAAAGGTGATTTGGAGGCCTGATTATAAAAGAGATTGGACTGCTCTCCTAGAGGCATCTTGTTCTCATGGCAGTGTTCTCAGTCTCTCTGTCTCTATCTTTCTCTGTCTCTGTCTCTCTCTGTCTCTCTGTCTCTCTCTCTCTCTCTCACACACACACACACACACACACACACCAGTGTGACACAATGAAAATAGTGTTTTGGGAAGATCCTTTTGGCACTGATATGTAGGAGAAGATTATGAATTTAAGGAAACCAGTTAGGAGGAGATTGTGAGAGTGGAATAGAAGGGACAGATATGAGATATTTTGAAGAAGATTCAACAGGACTTGGTGGCTGTTATGGAGGTCAAAGGAGGAATGGGCTTTTTTTTTAAGGATTTAGGAACATACAGGTGATATTTAGAACCATTAGAGTGCATTAAATCTCTGAAAGAAAAAGAACAGAAAACTGATACTTGAAGAATGCCCACATTTAGGGAACAGGAAGAGAAGAATCAGCAAAGGAGACAAGAAAGGACCTATAGAAGTAAGAGGACCAGATCAATGCATTGTTGAACAGGGGAAAGAACAAAGCATTGAGGAAGGGGTGGTCAATTATGTCAAATGCCACAAGGTTAAGCGGAAGGACTGAGAAAAAGCCATTGATGGCCATTGTCTTCACTCACTGGTGATCTCTGAAAGAACATTTCATAGAATGGTAGAAATAGAAGCTAAATTGCATGGGTTAAGGAGGAGCAGGCTGAGAGGTAGAATAGTCATTCTACTGTTTTAGCAGTGAACATGAGAGAATGAAGATGAAAGGTCAAGCAAATATGATTTTAATATACAGAAGAGATGTGCTTTTTTGAAGACAGAGTGGGAAGAAGTCATGTAGATTCACAGACATACAAATCTTCTTCCTTGTTTGCCTCACTGGGACCCCATCACTTCCCTGAGGCATATGTGTGCGGTGGGGGAAGAGAGGATGGAAATATGGGCAGGAGATGTCTTTTGAGCTGTGAAAACATCATACTCTGTCCTGTGACCTGCCCAGGAGGGGAGATCTCCTGTCAGAGCTCCTTCAAGCTATCTTGGTTATTATGATCCTCCCCTTAGGCTTTTTCAGTCTTACTCTAACCAGGTTATTTCTCTCTCATTTAGGATCGAGCGATTCCTATCTGGTTCCCCAGCTATGAAGAACCCTTCCTCAGCAATAGATATGCTATCCAAGCTCTGGACAAAGGTTGATGGTGTTACCTACATTACTGCTAACTCCTGACTCCTTTCTCCTACTGGGATCTTCCCTATTTCTATATCTATTCTTCTTATGCTATTCTCTGGGTACCTCTTTATCTCTCCCTCTATCTTCCAAATTGAAGAGTCTCTTTTCCCTGTAAGGTTTGCCATTTTTAAAAATTTAAATAATTTTTTTTAAGAATTTGATGGACACAACCTTTTATATATAATAAATAGAAAAAGAAAATTGTATATGAAACTATGAATCTCAATTATGTACAGCTTGAGTTTTTAAAAAAATTATAATAAATTTAGCATAATAGCTCCAACGTTGTCCTGATATCTCTTTCTGACATTCCTTCTGCTGTCTTTTGTGTGTTTTATAAATATTTCATTAACTCTTTTCTTTCTTTTCTTCCCCAACTACCTCCATCAAACAAATTAAAAAATAGATTCCTTCCCTTGTGACAATTAAGCATAGTCAGACAGAAGGTTCACACGTTGGCCTTATCAGAAAATATAGGTCTCATTCTGCATCTCTAGTCTATCAGCTTTCTACCTTACCTTCCCTTCCCTTCCCTCTTCCAGAGAGGTGGGAAATGTTGTGATTGGTCATTGCACTGATCAGAGTTCTTAAGTCTTTCAAAGTTGTTTTCCTTTACAATATTATAGTTGTTATTGTCAGTCATTTTCCTGGTTCTACTTATTTTACTCTCCATTAGTCAATATTATTTTTCTAGATTTCTCTGAATCTTTTCCCTCATTTCTTATAGCTCAGTAATATGCATTACATTTCTATACCATCATTTGTTTATTTGTTTCCAATTCTTCACTATAATGAAAAGTGGTGTTACAAAATTTAAAAGTCTGAACAGTTTAGTGACTTTGGAGGTATAAAAATGTAATGCATATTACTGAGCTATTTGGATCTTATTGTGCTAGATGGTATGAAATCTAATTTCTGACATATTGTTTTCTAGTAATCTAAGCAGTTTTTGTTGTATAATGCATACTTACTCTTGTAGTTGGGATCATTGGGTTTATCAAGCACTGTGCTACTGTGGCCACTTAACTTCTGGATCTTCTATACCTAATCTATTCTCTAATCGTCTTTTCTATTTTTAGTTAGTACCAAATAGTTTTGATGATTACTGATTTGTAATATGTTTTGAGACCTGGTACTTTCAAGCCCCTTCTCACTTTTTTCATTATTTCTCTTGAGATTCTTGGCCTTTTGTTCCTAAAGAAGAAATCATATTATTTTTTTCTAGTTCTATAAAGCAACCCTTTGGTATTCAATTTTATAGTATTGAATAAGCAAATTAATTTATGTAGTATTGATGTTTTAAAGTTGTGTTACATATGTAAATAATTCATAGCTCTCCAATTATTTGTCTATTTCTATCAAAAGTGTTTTGTCATTGTATTCACAAAATTCCTGTATTGTCCTTGGTGGGTAGACTCCCAAATCTTTTTTAGACTCTCTAGTTATATTGAATGGAATTTTTCTATCTCTTCCTGCTGGGCTGTTATGATAATATACAAAAAGGCTGACAATTTTGTGGGTTTATTTTATATTCCACTACTTTACTAAAGGTATCATTTCAACAATTTTTTGTTGTCACTAGAATTCTCTAAGTAATCCATAATGCCATCTGCAAAAAAGTCATCATTTTGTTTCTTCTTTTCCTATACTCATTGCTTCAAATTTTTTTATTGTTATAGCTAGGATTTATAGTATTATGTCAAATAACATTGTTGACACTGGTAATCCTTACTTTACTTCTGATCTTGTTGGAAAGGCTTCTAGCTTTTTTCCTTTAAAGATAATACTAGCTCTTGATTTTAGATAGATAAAATTTACCAAATTTTGTAATGAGACTCTTATGTTTTTGTGCTTTTAAACTTTTTAACATAAAAGAGTAGTGTGTTTTGTCAAAATTTTCTGCATATTAATATAATCATGTGATTATTAGTACAGTTATTATGTTAATAGTTTTCCTACTAATGAAATGACACCATATTCTTTATATATATTCAACCCAATCTTGTTATATATTCTTTTTTTATATGTTGTTGTAGCCTTTGTTGCTAAAATTATATTCAAAATTTTTGCATCAATAGTTTTCTTCCTATTGAAAGAAACTTGCTTTCTTTGTTTTGATATCTGAATTATATCTGACTTATACATTAAGTTTGTTAAGATACCTTCTTTCTCTATTTTTGTAAACAAATTGTAGAATATTGGAATTGATTGCTCTTTTGCTGTAATTGCTTGATAGAATTCACTTATAAATGCATCTAGTTCTGGATGTTTTTTTCCTCTACTAGCTTAATTTTTTTTAACAAGATGGGGTTACTTAAATTTTCTACTTCTTATCCTGTTAAGATGGATATTTTATGTTTTTGTAACTATTCATCCATTTCATTTAAATAACAAGTTTTGTTGGAATATAATTGGGCAAAAAATTTCTAATGACTTCCCATATTCCCTCTTCATTTGTTATGACTTCTTTTTTATTTTTTGTACTTGCAATTTGATTTTCCCCCTCTTTTTTTTTATCAAACCATCTAGCAATATCTGTTTTATTGATTTAAAAAATAAAAGCTCCAGGGCAGCTAGGTGGCACAGTTGATAGAGCTCTGGTCTTGGAGTCAGAGGTACCTGAGTTCAAATGCGTCCTCAGACACTTGATACTTTAGCTGTGTGACCCTGAGCAAGTCACTTAACCCCAATTGCCTCACCAAAAAAGCAAAAAACAAACAAACAAACAAAAAAGCTCCTAATATTGTTTATTGATTCAGTGGGGTTTTTGTTTATGTCTTTTTAATTAACAAAATTTCTATTTTTTGTGTTTAATTCATTTTTGTTGCTTTTCTAGGTTTTATTAGTTGCATGCCCAATTAATTTGATCCATCCTTTCTTTCTTTTGCTGATGAAAGTATTTAGAGATATAAATTTACTTCTGAGTACAGTTTTGATTTGTTGTTCCATTGTTGTCATTTTGTTTCCTAAAATTATCTGTTTCTATAATTTGTTATTTGACCCACAAATTCTTGAAGATTAAATTATTTAGCCTTTACTTAAGTTTGAATTATTTCTTTAAATATCCTTTATTGATTTTAATTTTTTTGCATTGTGATCATTAAATTATGTATTTAATATTTTTCCTTTTTTGTATTTCTTTATGAGGTTTTTATGCCCTAACAAAGGAGTTAGTTAAACTATGGCACACGGACCAAATCTGGCCACTTGCTCTTATGTGACCCATGAGCTTGGAATGGTTTTTACATTTTTTAAAAAATGTTTGGACTTTAAAATGTAAAAACCGTTCTTAGCTTGTGGATCACATAGCTGGATTTAACCTGCAGGCCATAGTTTGCTGGGCCTGCCTAGTACATGCCCTGTTTTTGTAAAGGTGATAAGCACAGCTGAGAAATAGGTATATTCTATTCTATTCCCATTCTGTAATCACTAGCAATCTATCATATCTTACTTTTCTAAAATTCTGTTAAGTCTTTAATTTTGTTGCTAATTTTTTAATATTTGTCTTGTTCTGAAAATAGCACATTGAGGTCCCTAACTATAATAGTTTTATTGTCAGTTTTTCCTTGTACTTCAGTCAACTTTTCCTTTAAGTACTTAGATGCTATGCCATTTGGTACATATATTTTTAAATAAATTTTTATTGATGTCTTTTGCTTTTTACATCACTATAATTTTCCCTATCATTCCTCCTTTACCCCTTCCCAGAAAGCCATCCATATGAAGATAACATTTTTAAAGAAAAAAGAGAAAAAGATGAAAAATCAGCATAACTGATCAATACATCAAAAAGTCTAAAAATATGTACAACATGTGACCCTTATAGATCTTCTGCCTCTGCAAAGTGGAGGTGGTAGTGACAATGTGAAAGTGTCTTCTCATATCTCTTCTTTCAAACCATGCTTATTCTTTCGCAACATTCACTTTTATTTGTGTGTGTGTGTGTGTAGTTGTTCTTTCCAGTCAACCTGGAAACTTCTTGTAGTTATTGTATTATTTTCTTGGTTCAGCTTCATTCTTCATCAGTTCATATAGATCTTTACATGCTTCTCATTTGTCATTTCTTTTTTTTTATTTGTCATTTCTTATAGCACCATTATATTTATGTACCACAATTTGTTTAGCCATTCCCCAAATCTGTAGGCATCTGATTTGTTTCCAGTTATTTTGCTATCACAAAAAGTGATGCAATAAATATTTTGGTATATATGAGAACTTTCTGTCCATCAATGTCCTCCAGTGGGTCTAATCCTAGTCATGGAATCTCCGAGTCAAAAGGTGCAGGCCTTTTAGTCACTTTATTTGCACACTTCCACATTGTCATCTTTGATTTGAAGCATTCTTTCATATGGTTGTTCATAGTTTTCCATTCTTTTGAAGACTGTTGGTTCATATCCTTTGACCACTTATCTACTGGGAAAAGGCTTTTAGTTATATACATCTGTTGTGTATGTACACACACATATATACACATATGTTAGTTGTATATGTGTGTGTTACATATTGGATACCAAACCCTTATCAGGGAAATTTTTCCCAGTTCAACCCCTTTTCTTCTTATTCTAGGTGCATTAATTTTGTCTGCACAGAAGTATTTCAGTTTCATGTATTCAAACTTACCTATTTTATCTTCTGCCATTACTTCTGTCTCTTGTTTGTTTAAGAATACATCTCCTTCCCTTAGCTGTGAAAGGTATTTGATTTTATTCTGATATTCTAATGACTCATGGAGTCATTGAACTGTGATTGTTCAATTCTGTCTTCAGGGAATCCTTTACTTGGGTAAGGTTTTCTGCATTCTATTTTAAATTATTTCTTCTTCCAATTTTTTCTTCCATAACCTTTATTTCAATTTTAATCTCATTTTTCAATCTTTTGCTTTATTTCTTCTAGCTGTTCTTATAGTTCTTGTAGTCAAGCCTTTAAAAAATTCTGTGGCTTTGTTTATTATTTCTGAAGAGTTCTATGTATATATGTGTGTGTATATATATATGTGTATATATATATATATATATAATATATATAAAATTCATTAGAGATTATCTCTCAGATTTTTTCTTAGTTCATGGTACTTTTTCAATGTGTTTAGCATTTTCTTTTGTTTACTTTTTTTCTGCTGTAGCTCCTTTTTCTGTGCTCACAGGCTTCAGGTGCATTTTCTACAGGTTCACTGGATTCTCTAATATAAACTCTTCCCCAGTCCCCACTAGATTCTGGCTGTCTTTTTGTTGAAATTTTGATTGTGTAGAGGAGCTTACTTCTGTTATTTTTCCTTTTTTTGCAGGAGTTTTTTTTTTTTTTGAGGGAGTAGGAAACAGTCTATATAGTTCCACATACATTGTCACTGTATCTAACTGCTGACAGGGGCACTAGGTGGAGGAGGATTTAGATCCAAAAGGGCTCTCCATTTTCCCTTCAGAGAAGGAATACACTTTTTATCCAAACCATAGTTATCAGACAAAGTGGTAGGTGGTTTTTTTTCTTACTGTTTCTTACCCAAGAAAAGGGGGTGTTAAGCTGCCTAATTCCTGCCTCCTCTTCTCCAGTCCCCTATGACATCTGCCGACCAGACCACTCAGTCCTGACACTGCATCTACCAGTGACAGCCTCTGTGAGAGAAGTGATAGCTACACTGGCCCAGGAGGATGGCTGGATACAAGGCCAGGTGCTGGTGAAGGTTACCTCTTCGGGGGGTAAGTTGTACATCCTTCCCAAGCAAGGATTTCCCAGACTGATCCACTCCTAGACTTTTCTGAAATCAGGAATAAAATGAGTGTGACTAGGTGTCCCAAGAGTCCTTGAGAGCATAGGAAACTGCTCATCAATGAGTCAGTCAACCAGGTTGGATGTAGTTGTTGAAGCTCCAGCATGATCAGGGCAGCAGGGGCTTCCTTAAAATACTGATGGGCAAAGAGGAAGCAAGCAGAGGGAAAGGATTCAGGATTGGCAATCCCAGTGTTTCCCCTTCAGATTCTAAAGCTGAAACCAAAGCTGTCTGGTGGCATCTTCAAGATATTGGATGATGCCTGCTGTCTAAGAGATTATTTCCCTTTGATTTATTTCACCTCTCCCAGCCCTTTGGATTGGAAGCAAGGGTTGTGGGGAACAAGGCACAGTTAGAGCAACAGTCCCCACTTAAGGCAATAGCCAATATTCCCTTCTCCCTTTATTTGGGAGCAAAGATTCCCTCACTCCTCATGAAAAAGGATTATTCCTTCCTGGACACTTAACTAAATTGAGATGTATATCTCACTTTTCCTAAACCCTTTCTTTCCTTGTCACTGACCGCCATCTTAGCCATAGCTTCTCCCACAGACACCATTGGTCTCCAACCAGATGCCCATGGTGTGGCAACATCCCTGGGACTCAACGAGCGGCTCTTCATTGTTAACCCACAGGAAATGCACAAGTTGGTAAGGAGCTTGGCAGAAAGCCTTGGTAGGGAGTAGAGACTTAAGTCTAAATAGGGTCTCCTAGTAAGGAGCCGTGAATTAAATACCTGAGGGAAAGGGGGGAGATATATATAAACCTCCCTGGGTTTATATCTGTCAGCTCTTCTCATATTTACAGCTATTTCCAATACACATAAGCAATCCTTACCACGCCCAGAGTGCTCTTGTCTCAAACCCTACCAACCCCCTTTTGGTCCCATTCCTCCCTCCCAACACGCAGACACATGCACACACAGACAGACGGACAGACACACTCACAGTTCCCCCGGAGTTCCCTTTGCCCTCTCTCTGAAGAGAGGCTGGCATCTCCATCTCTTTCCCGCCTGCAGACTCCACACCCAGATCAGCTTGGACCCAGTGTAGGCTCAGCTGAGATGTTGGACCTAGTGAGTGCCAAGGACCTGGCCAGCCAGCTGACTGACCATGACTGGAACCTCTTCAACAGCATCCACCAGGTGTGGGGGAGGCCTTAGCTAGATGGGATGGATGTAGGAGAAGGGAACAGCTGGGAACAGCAAGATCATTGGGTAATGTGGCAGAGAAGGAAGGGTTGGTGAGGCTGATGGTGTGGGAGAGGGTTGGGGTCTAGTTGGACACACCTTAACTCTACCTTCCCCCAACCCCCGAGGTGGAGTTGATCCACTATGTGCTGGGACCACAGCAACTCCGAAATGCCACCACTGCCAACTTGGAGCGCTTCATGCGGCGTTTCAATGAACTGCAGTATTGGGTGGCCACAGAGCTGTGCTTATGTTCTATACCTGGTCTTCGGGCTCAGCTGCTCCGAAAGTTCATCAAGCTGGCTTCTCAGTGAGTGGGAAGACTGTGGACTGGGGAGGGCAATCTTTGGAACAGGGACCGGGGATCTGGGGTAGTCATTTCCGGTTTCCATCTGCCTTAATTGCATTGCTGTATCTGATGCCTTTGTCTCTTTCACCATCATCTTCTTCTTGTTCTTCTTAACCCTAATTGGAAAGATATGCCTCTTTGCCAGTCTAGTTTAGTTCTAGTTTTTTCCCTTGTTCCATGTACTATGCTAGCCAATCTGTGACTGTGACCCTGGTTGCTGTTTCTCAGCCTCAAAGAACAGAAGAACCTCAACTCTTTCTTTGCTGTCATGTTTGGCCTCAGCAACTCTGCCATCAGCCGTCTTGCCCTCACCTGGGAGGTAGGTGCTTCCTTTGAGTCAAGGTAGCGGGTAAGAGGCCCAGGACCCTGTCCTAAAAATAGGCCAGATCCCACTTCCTGAAAGAGCACGGTTTCTGTCTCAAGAAGATTCATCAGGTAATGTAGCAGAAAATTCCCAGTTCTGTCTTTTTGTCTCTGATTCTCTTAGCGGCTGCCCCACAAAGTTCGGAAGCTATATGCTGCCCTCGAACAGCTTCTGGTGAGTCCATTGGCTCCGCTGGCTAACTCCCTCTTCCTTCAAACCCCTCACTCCTTGAATTAAAGTTTGGGCTAAAGTTAGGACATATCCCCTGTTCCCCTACAACCTCCAGATTGGCCAAACCTGGCATAGGGCCTGCTTTTCTTATGAACTGTGAAAGAAATGTTCCTGTTTTCAGCATAACTCTGTACATTCAGGAATATAGGGCACTGGGCATGGATAGCCATAAGTTTTGGGGTGGCAACAGGATATATTGGTCTTATAGTATGTATTGCACAATATTGTGTCATGTCATACTGTGTGATATATGGCACACACTATCATTTTTGTGATCTGTGATATGTTGGGGATGTGTCTTGGGGTAAACATCTCTGTGGTCTGAGGGGATAAGAGAGGCCCTAAAGGGAAAATGACCTCAGCTTATTAACTAAAAATAATTCAAGAACCAAGTCCAGACACCAAATACTTGGATCATCAACAGCAAAGTCAGACAGTGGGTATGGGGAACCTGTGGGTCAGATGAGATCCGAGGAGGAAGAGGGTTTTGTAACCCCAGCCATTTCCTAGAGATTCCTGAGGACTGTGGCATTCAAAGCAATTCAGCAAACATTTATTGAGAGCTAAGCCCGTGTGGGCACTAAAGGTACTAAAATAAAAACAAAAGAATCTCTGTCCTCAAGGAATTTTCATTTTAATGGAAGTGTATGAGGAAAGATGTAATAAATATAATTCCAGTTCCAAGAATAGGTTATTGGAGTAGAAAATTAAGGGAACCTGAGGAGAAAATGAATACTTCATTTTGGATTTTGTGAAAGAGAGGGAGAGGAAAGCTGGGCATAGTCTGACATGCACCTTAGGTTTAGGGAGAACAGATGTCAAAGGGTTCAGGGAAAGGTATAGGTCAGATCCAGTGGATTAAAGTTCTAGAAGGGAGTCAAGCCGAGAGGAATGGGATGCTCTCAAAAATAAAATTCTGAAAACTCATAGATAATTTTGATTTTTTTAAAAAATCAGTTATTTAAAGAATTTGATGTGGAAGCACAGGGAGCTCATTAGCTTAGATTCTAAAAAAAATATAAACCATATAGGGAGCAAGGGCAAGTTATAGAAATAGAATCAGAAATGTGAAGTTGGTTGATGTTGCTTAGTAGTGGTCCCATGCAGAGGAGCTATGACCATTTCCAATCCTAGGAACTGTCAAGAAGAAACCATCCTCAGGGATTTGTGAACCCTCAGGTGTTTTCCTCTATCCTTCTCTGCCCCTAAACAATGAGCTCTATCTCTAAGAGAGGTGTCTGGTTCTATAATTTGGGTGAAGGTATTTGCTGGTTTTCAATATCTTCCTACAAAGTTAGTTATACAATGTTATACCATGTGGTGGTATGCTGTATACCACATAAAATGGTGCTAAAAATCTAAGGGTGATGATATATGGTGTATCCAGGGTCTTTATACTCTTTGTGAACCTCCCTGTCAGGACCCATCCTGGAATCATCGTGTGTACCGATTGATGCTTACCAAGCTGTCCCCTCCCATCATCCCCTTTATGCCTCTCCTCCTCAAAGGTAAATGGCATTGGGATCTAACTTTCCTTTAGTGGGAGGGGAGAGGTTAAGGAAGGTGATAGAAAATGGAGGTAGGAGGTTGGTTTGGGGAATCCCTGTTCTTTTTCCTTTAACCTTTCCCGGGATAAACATAGGGGAACAAAATTTGTGGGACTTTTGAGTACTGATCTATAACTCCCCACAGACATGACCTTTATCCATGAGGGAAACCATACACTGGTAGACAATCTCATCAACTTTGAGAAGATGGTAAGTGTGGGAAAGTAGGGATCTGGACTTGGAGTTTTGGGTTGAGGTAAAAGAGAAATTCTAAAACCAGACATTAAAAATGAGAAAAGGCATGAACCAAAATTTTTGTTGTAAAAATACATTTTAATTAATTAATTAACTTTTGTCTTTACTCACAGCCATTCACCCACACCCAACCCTACTCAATTGAACCTCACCTCATGACAAAAACATTTAAGCAAAAACATCCAAATCAGTGACCACTTTTGATAATGTATATACTATTCTGTCCTGGTAGTCCCCTGCTTCTCACCTGTAAAGGAGGAGGTATATTGGACCTTCAGTGGTTTTTTATTTAGTGACCTTTTTATTTACATTATTGTAAGTCATTCTGTATCATTGTTCTCAGGTTTACTTATTTTTCTCTGCCTCAGTTTATAAAAATCTTCCCATGTTTCTCTGAATTCCCTCATATAATTTCTCACTGCACTTATTACTGTTCTTTTAAAATGTTTTATTTGTGTTCTTCCCTTTTTTCCATTACTGTCAATCAATCAACAAGTATTTATTAAGGGTCTACTAAGTGCCTGGCACTGTACTAGTCATGAAGATACAAAGACAAAAGTGAAGCATCCTTACCTTCAAGGAGCTTATATTGTAATGGAGAAACAAATGTAAATATGTATGTTGCAAATACAAGGTAACCTTGGAGGGAAAGGTGCTACCAGCTGGGGGGAACAGGAAAAGGCCTCATGAAGAAGACACACGAACTGAGTCAAAAGGAAACCAGGAATTGCAGAGGTGAGGAGGGAGAGCATTATAAGTATATGGGACAGCCTTTATGAAGGCAAATGGTCATGATTTTCTCAGTCTCATTTGTGGAGCATTCTCCAACTGAGATTGTGAGAGGAGAGGGTACTGTTGTAATCTTGAGGAGAGAAGAGAATGTTTGAAGAAGTAAAATGGTAGCATTATGGTATTGAGAACCCAAGGGAAGAGACAAGAATATAGCCAGAGTAGAGGTGATGGCCTTTAAAGAGAGCTTTAAAGTATGTCCACAGTTAATGGGCATGGAAGTCATTAGAAGTTACAGTGTGGATAGATTGGAAGAGGGATTGAACATCATGGTATGGTTGAAGAATAGGTGTGAGTAAGGTATAAGAAGATATTTAGATATGAGATATGAAGATAGGACATTACGATAAATGAATTTTAGATTTCTTGATTATGGAAATAGAACACCTGTAGATGATGGCAGACTGTACAGTTATAATGTGTGTTGTTTAAGAAGAATAAAAGAGTAAGATGAGAATTTAGTAAATTAAGACACTAGGTGGCTAGGTGTATTTGATAGAATGTCTCATATGTGTTATAGTCTCCTTGTATAAAGGCAAGAGTTGGAGTAGGGAGGGATACAATGATCCAGATACCAAACTCATTGAGACAAAAGGCAGAATGTCCTAGGGACGGTTAGAAACCACTGGGATATGAATTAGGTGATAAATTTGGATAGAGTGAACCTTAAAGAAGGAGAGATGATGGAGTGTTTCAGGCAGAAGAGTCTGAAATTAGCAAAGGGGAACAAGGGATATTTTGTCCCTTCCTTAGTATCAGTAATTCTGTGGTATAAACAAAGGGGTAACCAGCCCTTGCAAAGATGCAACGTCATGAGGATTGGGTGGTGGAGACACAGCCAGGTTTCTTTGAGTGCCAGAAGATGGAAGGAACATGAGAGGAAGAGGACTAAAATTAAAGGAAGAAGTTTGTTAATTTTGGAGCAAGAGTTCCCAAGTGCACAGAATAAAGGGCAGGCAGATCTGGAATATGACTTTGGAGGGGATAACATTGAGATAGGCAAGGATAAGAGTGGGCACTAGGGGTTTGGGAGAGGAGTCAATTGCCAAGGACTCTCCCCTCTCCAAATAGACCCCTCCTTTATAACGAGTATAGTTAAGAAAGACAAATCCACACACCAGCCATATCCAAAAATATATGCTTCATTCTATATCCAATTTACCACCTCTCTGCCAAGAAAGTGAGAGGCATATTTCACTATCTTCCTTCTGAAATCCTGATTGGTCAATGCACTGATTAGAGTTCTGAAGTCATTAAATGTTATTTCCTTTATGTTATTGTAAATAACACATTATTTTGTACATTATCCTGATTGTGCTCATTTCACTCTGCATCATTTCATACAAGTCTTTCCAAGTTTCTCTGAATTCTTCATACTTGTTATTTCTTACAGGGCAGTAATCTCAATAATATAAGATTGTATTCCCATACCATTTTTTTCAGTCATTTCCCCCTTAGTTCTCAATTCTTTCCATACTTTTAATAATATAAAAACATGAAACATTTGTCATTTATTTTATCAATAAAATAAAACAATTATTTATTATCGTATGTTTAAATCATTCTATGATTTCACTGATGTGGGCACCCACTCTATCAATGGAGATCACACCCCTTTGTATTTTAGTAAGTACTTTGATGCATCACTGAGGCCAGCATCATTCATTACTGATAGTCTGACTTCTAGAGATGAGTCTTTCTGCACTTAGTTTTGCTGGCAGAGTCTTAGGAGATGGTCTATTGCTGGGCTTGTACTTGAAGCCTTTTTAGCTTGGTAATGCCCTCCAGCCTGTGAACTTTGAAGGCATAACAACCTGCAAAAACCTAGGCCATCTTTGTTTCACCATGAGGCACTGGGGTTTAGTTGGGGGGAAAGGAGAGGGGGAAATAATTTAGCTATTCATTTATGTTAGGTGTGTAGGCATATAGTTGTTTGTGTGTGTGTTTTTTGGTGTGTAAATACTGAAGGGCAATATGTCAGGGTGAATAGAGATCTGGCTTCATTTAAGAAGACCTGTGTTCGGGTCCCATCTCAGTCACATACTGGTTCTATGACCTATCACTTAACCACTCAGTGCCCCATGCAATTCTTTCAGAGGATGATTTTCTGGAGCAAATGCCAATCTGCATTGGTAAAGGAAGTTCAGTATATAAATGAAATCACAGATCAGTTTTTTAAAAGTATGTATGCACTAATTTTTAAATACCTGCCTCAGTCTCATGTCTCCTCATTAAATACTTGCCCCATTTCCCTAAGATAGGAGAGAGTGTACTCTAGTCTCTTCTGTCGTTCTGATCACGTGACCTGATACATGGCAATATTCTGTTCAGGACACCCAGCAAAGCTGACAGCTATTTAAATATTCCAGCTTCTTGTCTGGGGAGTGGATTTGAGCATAGTTGGGTTGCTTAAGGTCCTTACTCCTGTTTTTATTGCTCCCAGCGTATGATGGCCAGAACCGTACGATTATTGCATCACTGCCGAAGCCATAGCTCTGGTAAGAAAGAGCTAGGACAGCTCCATCTTTCTTTCCCCTTTTCCTTTCCTTTTTCTCTACAGAGGAGAGACTTACTTTGACTCAGCTTAGGGATCCATATGGTGAGATAACTCAGAAGTAAGGGAATCCTTGGTACATGTGCAGCTCCCATAGGTTACCTCCAAGGATCTTTGCTTTCAGCCTAAAAACTCAAAGAACCAAAAAAACCTTTGGAATCTACAGTCATGGGTTCATATAGGTCTAAAAATGGAAGGGACCTCAGACACCAACCCTTTAGTCCAGGAGTTCTTAACCTGGGGTCTTTGAGTTTGTTTTTTAAAATATTTTTATATTTATATTTCAATATAATTGGTTTCCTTTGGAATAGTATGTATTTTATTTTATGTGTTTAAAAATCATTTTGAAAAGGGCTCCATAGGCTTCACTAGACTGCTATAGGGATCCATGACACAAGAAAGGTTTACTGCTCTAGTCCAAGTTTCTTATTTCACATATGAGGAAACTGAGTCCAGGGAGATTAAGTGTCTTGCCCAAGGTCATATAAGTAGTAAGTGTCAGAAGTCTTCTGATTCTCAAGCTAGTATTGTCCAGTCCTTCTCAATCTTCCTCCTTTCTTGGGGTTAGGTCTTCTGTCCTCTATTTTAGCATTTTCTTTGTCTGCCAATCCTTTCTCGTCAGGGGCTCAATCTCTGGTGTAATCTCTTTGAATCCCTGTTCTTATCCCTATCCAGTGCCTCTCTCACCACTGCGGAGCCGGGTCTCCCACATACATGAAGATAGCCAGACCATGAGGATGTCTTGTAAGATGACATGAAGGATGCATCCAGATGCAGGGCAGGGAGATGGTTTGGAAGGATGAGAGTGGGCTGGATTCTAGAGGCCTGGGGAAAAGGGAAGGGAAATAGAATTTCTCAGGGGGTTGGATTGGGGAGAAGTTTGGGTGAGGCTGAGACAGAGGCTATGAGGAGTATCTGATTTTCAAAGACAAAGGTGGTAGGGGAATCTAGAGGGGCTGAAAGACCTGAATAAATCCTATTGGCCTCTTGACCTGAATTTTTCCAACAGGTTCAGAGCAATCCTTAAGTGCCCGGAATCTGGCCAGTGCCCGGGCGTATATCCAGCAGCTGAAGGTCATCGACAACCAGCAAGAACTTTCTCGGCTCTCCAGAGAACTGGAGCCTTGATGAGACTGATGTGCCTTCCCTAACCCGGAGAGGCATAGCTGAGGAAAGTTGGAAGGGATCCTTGGACCAACAGATCCAAGAGCTGGATGGATTCTTCACTGAGAGTGTGGACTTGAGGAGCTGCACAGGTGGCATGGATCCAGCTGACCACCCAGTGATGGCTGGCGACCAAGGAGAAAACTGAGTCAAGACTTAAAGCTCTGGAGTGAAGGATGGTGGGGAGGCCTGGAAGAGTAGTGGGAAGGGAACATGGGCAGCAAACCCATGTTCAAGGGAGAGCTGTATACACCAGGTTTTTCTAAGTCCTTGGCTGTTGATCTTATCAACTGACCAAGATTAGGAAGCTTGTCACAGGAAGGTTTCCTGTCATTTGCTTTGGTAGCAGGAGTGAGAAGGGGAAGAGGAGGGAGAAAAGGAAAAAAAGGGTAAAGGGGACTGCTGGAGCTAAGAAGCCTTCTTGGAGGAACAGAGGTTCTGCTTCCTGTGTCCACTAACTGTCATACAATTGCAGAATTGTACGCAATTGTACAGAAGAGAGGGAATCCCTGGGATTCCAGGTGCCCAGTAAATCAGCTAATAGTTGTATATCTGCCATGTCTAAGGCACTGAGCTGCAAGTGCTACAAAGAAGTCAGATGGTTTCTGACTTCAAAAAGTTTATGGTACCATTGGAGAGACAAGACATCCATGACTTGTAAAGCTGGTCTTCGTGTTTAGGATTCCTGTTTCTGAGAAGATATGCAAACAGGGAAAGGACAGGGGTGTGTGATGTAGGATACATACAGCTCACAGTGTGGGCATAATTCTCTGTACATCATAGATGAGTAATGCTTGGTTGGTACCCACAGCCTTGGTACCCTTGAGGCTGAGTCAGAAGAGATGGATTAATCATGGATCTCAAGAGGGCTCCTCCTTTACAAGAACAACTCCTTTGGCTTTCTCAACTATTGCATGGGATTTTTAGGACAGTGCACAAAACTCCACCCAACCCCTTCCTCTCTCCCCTATAGGTCTTTAAGTCCCTATTCTCTTCCTTGGACTGTTTTGGTTAATAGGTGTACCTGGCATAGTTCATCAGCTATAGATTTGCCCTTCTCGGGGTTCCCAATGCCTAGGAGCTGGCTAAGGGCTACTCAGCAGCTTTTAGGGGTGTGACCTAGGGCTGTAGCTTGTGACCAGAGTAAGCAGAAACATTAGGGAGTGGCTCCAATATATTTCCTCAATGACACCGGGCCAGAGAAGCTGAGACAAAAAAGGGGGAAACTTGTGAACTCTGAAACCTAGCAAAAATGAGGTTGGTAAAGGCCTAAAAGGGGAACTAGAGATAATAAATCAAGATTCATCATCAATGATCAGGCTCTTCCCAGTAATCCCCAATTACCAACACCGAGCTACCTGGCATTGAATATTTCTTCATCCTCCTCCCTCTTCCCCCATGACCATTTGCTACTCCAAAGGATTATTTGCTTCCCAGAGAGCCATTGTGCTTGGGTAGGATCATGTCCTTGGCTGCTGAATTGGAGTATTGGAGAAAGTCAGAATATGGAGGGGAGAGAGGAGGGGAGAAGCCTGGAGAATGCTTGAGCATTGGGCTAAAGAGCATTTTCCAGCACTGAGGTGGAGCAGCAGTAGCAGGGCTTAATAGACCTGAAGATAAGTACCTCTAAAGATGAAAACTGATTGGTAAGAAATGCCAGTGCTTGAAAGAGACAGCTTTACTACTCTTACCCTGTCTACTATCCTTATCAGTGAATGCTCCCAGAGGTCTTTGATCCTTTATCCCTATGTCCTCCAGACATAGCCTTTAAATGCTTGCCTTGTTTCAATAGCACATACAGCAAAAATGGGCCCACGTGTGGAAAGAGGGAGACGTATACCTTGGGTGTATGTTGGTGTGTGTGTATTGAAAGGGGGTAGTAGAGTAAGGAGGGTGTAACATAGGCCACATATGTCCATATGTATGTGTCTTGAGGAAAGTTAAGGGACTGCCCATCTGCATTCCTTTCCTTTCCTCCCTCCACTCCTCAAAATGGTGTAGTAGAAAGTATGCTGGATTTGGAGTCGGAAGACCTCAATTCTATTCCCAGTTTCGCCACTTACTCCCTGCATCACCTTGGACTAGTCATAACCTCCCTGGGTCTCAGTTTCCTCATCTGTAAAATAAGAAGTTTGACCAGGTGACTTCTAAGATACCTCCCACCTGTAAGTCTATGATGATATGCTGCTGTTCCTCAGCCATGAAACCTTTGTGAGTGGCCTGTTAGGTATGAGGCAGTATGGACTAATTGTGGGGTGTAATAAGGAGGAGTTGTCACCTCCCACAGCAGGCTGAGCAGGATCTGGTAGGAGAAGGCTTGTAAGGGTGGGGAGCTAGAGCTTCTGAGGTAATGTGTACTTCCCTTCAGCTTAACCCTTCCTATATTCTCTCTTCAGTCCATCATGGAGCCCTTGTTTCCATATTTTTCTGGGTCTCTATAATGCAAGGTATGGGAGCAGGGGAAGAGACAGGGAACAATACTTATGCTCGTGCTTAGTTCTTTGATCTCTATAAGTCCTCAACCTTTGGTTGCCTTCTAATTCTAGGTCCTTTCTGAGGGAGATGTTATTTTTATAATATATGTGTAAATATTTTATAGTAATAAATTTATATTTACATAGTATATTTTACTTTCCAAAGTACTTTCATATCCATTACCTCATTTTATCTTTACAAGTAGGAAGAAATTATTATCCCCATTTTCCAGTTAAGGAAACTGAGGTTCAGTGAGACACACTTGCCCAAGGACACAAAGACAGTTAATAATAGGTTATATGGATGACATATATGGCTGCTCACTGGTTATAGCCATGCCTCTACCATACACCATCACTATCCCTTTGTTTACCCTAAACCTCTTTACACGTTCTCTTTCTGATTTCACTATAGTCCACCAATGGGTTAATTAACATCTCTCCCTATAATTTCTGAGGATTTCTAGTCTCCCTGAAACTAGATCTCTTCTAGTTGCTTCCCTGTTCTTTTGCAGAGCCTTAGGCTAGGATTAAGTAGGTACCCATCCCTGGCCTTTCTGGCCACCCCTGGTCTGAGGGGGTGAGACATCTTGAAGTTTCCAAGCTCAGGAACCAAGACTTCCAACTTGGGGAGACTTTGGCCTGGACTGACCTGAATAAGACACCCAGAGGAGATACCTGCTGGACACAGGGCACAGGACAGCTGTTATTAGGGTAAAGCAAGATGGTCCTGGGAGCCCCTGGCTTGTCTCAGCCCAGTTCTGAGAGTATCTTCGCTCCCAACCTTAAGAAGCCTCCTGGAGAAGGTATCTTTGTAGAAAAGAGACAAGGAGAAGGGGCAGCTAGGTGGCGCAGTGAATAGAGCACCGGCCCTGAAGTCAGGAGGACCTGAATTCAAATCCGGCCTCAGACCAAACACTTGACACTTACTAGCTGTTGACCCTGGGCAAGTCACTTACCCCCAATTGCCTTAAAGAGAGAGAGAGAGAGAGAGAGAGAGAGAGAGAGAGAGAGAGAGAGAGAGAGAGAGAGAGAGACAAGGAGAGCTGTTTGGTGAGAGAGAAATACAAGTGTCAGAAAGGCATAATCAGAATTCTTAGAAGTAATGACTAAGAATAGTCTGTAGTTTGCTGAAGAGATGAGGGCTGGCAAGAAATAATATAGTTAGTATCTTGGCTCTAATGTAAGAGTCTGAAAAATTCTGCAACATGGGAGATGGGATTCATGGTTCCTTATCCTAGTGTTACCTAACCAAGCTGTAGGTTTTAGGGGGGATATTAGCCTAAATAGCATCGTGGATTATGTGGGCTGAGTTGGAGATCCCAAAGATCTTGCACTCAAAGTCTATGCAGCAAGAAGGATTGTGCATCACCTATGTGCTGCGGCTGCATGAGCTTATTGAACCTACACAAAAATCTGTCTTATAAATGTTAGTCTTTCTGCCATGTCATCAAGTAGCCTGTGTCCTCAACTCTCCTGTTTGTCAGATACTTCCAAAATTTTTCTCAATGTTTTAGAGCAGTAGGAACATTAGGAAAAGGGATGAAGTGAGGGAGCATACTTTACTGGTCTTTAATATCTCTTTGAACAGATGCATGTGACACAGAAAAATAGAATATCACAGCTGAGATGGGTCTTAGAAATAATTGAGCCCAACCTCATTTAATAGATAAGGAATTTGAGGTCCAGGGACATTAGCTCGAGATCTTTGAGAAACTTAGAAACAGTCAGGACTAGAACCAAGGTTTCCTGATTTCCAGACCAATGTTCTGTCCACTACGTGACAATGCTTCTTAAGGTAAACTCAAGACCAGTCCTACCACTAGGTAGAATAGACAGCTACCTACAAGGTATCATCTGAGGCATGAGAAGCCCCTTACAATATCTTCCTTGTAAGCCTTCTGCAATATCTGAAATTCTCACTCTTAATCCTTTGGGATTAGGCATAAACTATAGAAGACCCTATTAAAATGCAAACATGCTAGCTAACTAGATTGGACTATTTCAACACCTTGGCTTAAATTAATTTATCAGATTAGTTAGCCCTCACTTTAAAAAGTTGGAGATGAGAGTCCCAAGAGATTAGAATATAGGAAAGATAAGTTTTAATGGAGAGGCAGGGAAAGATTCAGAACATGGGGTACCTACCTTGGGAGAGAAAACCTGTATTGTGTACTTAAGTGCCCTTCAGTAGATGTAAGAGAGTCAACTTATTCCACTCTGACAGCTTGAGGCCTCCAGGATCCCTAGACAGGAATCACTGGTGACAGAGGAGTTCACACTAAGAGGTAGTATTGTGTATTAGAAAGAGTACTAGGCTTGACTTCAGAAGACCTGGGTTCAATTCCCAGCTACCATTTTTATTAGCTTGAACAAGTAACTTAATTGCTCATCTGTAAAATGGGGGCCATAATACTCTCACAACCTGATTTACAATGTTTTTAGGAGGAAAACACTTTGTAAACCTTACAACTCTACATATATATGAGCTATTAGTTGTTATTAGTATCATCTTCTAATAATTATTATTATAACCTTTAGCTCCAAAGGTTCCTTCCAGAGTGAATGGATCTTTAGGAAGGAATAAAAGCTTAGAATTTTATTGTCATCTGGAAAAAGTTAGCTGTGAAGGCTGAGAGAGACTGTGAGGCACAGAGAAAAAGGACTCACTAAGAGAACTTTCTTTCCTGGAAAAATAAGTAAATTAACTTAGCTTTGAGAAAGACTAAAGAAACATTTTGGGGCAGCTAGGTAGTACAGTGGATAGAGCACCAATCCTGTAGTCAGGAGGACCTGAGTTCAAACCTGTTCTCAAACCAGACACTTCACACTTACTGGCTGTGTGACCCTGGGCAAGTCACTTAACCCCAATTGCCTTGTCAAAAATAAATAAATAAATAAAATCAAGAAACATTTTGAGAGACGTTAATTTAATGCTTATCCTGTGGAGAAGATATGCTATGGAGAAAATTTGAAAAGGATTCTTGAGAGACTTTGATTGCCATCCTGAGAGAGAACAATGGTGGGGATTTGTTTCCAGAGTTGTTGAGGACACAGAAGTTGCAGTGATTCTGGCTCTTATTTAATTATATAGTCAGTAATCTTAATTTTAGCTTACTCCAAAGACAGGAGTTTGATACTAAGAGAGATGAGTGAAAGTTTATGGGAAAAGAGGCTTTTCTAGTTTATTTATGCACAAGGATGAGGGCTCAAAGCCAATTGATTAATGAGGCATTATACTTTCATATTAATTTATGAGAATATATGAAAATATATCATTTGATTGCCTTAGAACCTGGGACAAGAGTTAGTAAAATAATAAACCAGTAACAGGTGGAGCGGGACTAGTTGTCTACTAGTGCATTCGTGTCCCGGATTTTCATCTAGAGACAATTTTTTCTGTTAAAGCACCATGCCCTGTGGAGCTACAGTTTTGTTCGTTTCTGGGCCATTGTTTTCCCACAAAGGAAAACAATGCTACAGACTATGGCAACCCTATCTTTGACTAGCTACTGTAAAAATGTGTGCCCTTGGTCATGAGGGCAGGTAGATCAAAGTGTGAATGGCTTGCTACAAACTCATACTCACTATTGGACAAACAACTCGGAGAGTACATCGTTCTGACTGTGGGCCAGTAGTCTTGACTATCTGTCCTTGCAGGGCAGCAGTGAGAATGCTAAGATGCACCTGCATTCAAGTGAGTGGTTCTTATAATGACCTGTTTCCAAATTCTCTATCTTTATCTGTCTGCCTCTCATTGACTTGTCTCTATTTTTGTGGTGTGCCAGCCTATCTATTGTTTCTCAATCTCTTGCCGAGGACACTAGACACTAAATAATGGCTTTGCTTTAAAAATTATTGTGTGGGGACAGTGAGACAAGTATCAGTACAGAGGGACATGCAATATAGCATACAGAAACTGATTACCTGACCTGTTCTATGAGAGCACAGGATGGGAAAAAGGCAGTTTAGCTTCAAGGACTCTTCTAGGATAATATTGTAGACACTGAAACGTGTAGAATCCCAGGGAGCACCAGGAGGAAGGGTGATGGTGGTGCTAGGGATAGGGAGAGGCTTTGTCCTAGGAGAGTTACTCACTACTTCTGGTCACATTCACTTCTTCCCTTATTCTTCAAAGGTGGGGTGGTAGAGTGGAAAAACAAATAGATTTGGAATTAAAGGTCCTAGGATGAAATCTCAGCTCCACTAAGTTCTCTTCCGGTTCTAAATCTGTGATCCTATGGATTGTTTGGAGCAGATGGGACTGGAAGATTGATTCAACATACATGTATATTATGTATTATGTAAGTTATATAAATACATTAAGTTATATTATTATGTTTTTACATGTGTCCACATACACACATACATATATATACACATACATATATATATATACACATACACATATATATGAAACACTATGTCTTTTGTTCCTAGGTCCAGAAGATCAGGAGTCAGGGAGTCACGAAAGGGGACCCATATTATTGAGGGGTTAACAAGCCAGAAAGTCAACAAACTTGGAAATAGGGGTGAGCTAATTGAAATCCAATACCTTTTCCCAAGAATCAGCAGAATCGTGGACAAACCATGGCAAATATCCATCCAGAAATCCACACACTTACCTATTCAGAAAGCTAGGCATGGAAACCATTATCTGAGTTTTAGATCAATGGGTCTAAAAGTTAAAAGAACGTCATTCTGGACAGAGTCCAGAGAATAGTGTGAAGGGAGAAACCCTACACATTAACTAAAAAAAGATTTTGTTTATAAAAATAAATAAATAAATGACAAGCCCAAGACAGCATTATTTTATGGTATCCTGCTGGCCGCTCCCCTTTTTTGCATGTTCACATAAACACTTAGTTGAACACAATGCACCTGTGAATTCAGACACCTCATGCACAGCACTACCCCAGGTATAGGTAACAATACAAAGTACTTTTTAGTCCCTGATCTCAAGGAGTTTACAATCATTTGTCAAATACAAGAGTAAACAACAATGTGACAACACTGGAAAGGTCATGAAACAATCTGTGAAAAGTTCAAATGAGTGGGCATAGTCCCACCTACACAATGACTTAGACAAGGATATGGTTATTGGAATTCCTGTCCCTTGAGCTTGGATGTGGGAAATACTTAACTGTTGAC